GGGGGGCGCGGGCGGAGCTGGTGGCGTCGCCCCCTGGGGGCGCGGGCACTTACTCCGTTAGAGCCGGTGGTGATCTCTACGGTGCTGTCGATTTTGCTGCCGCCCCCGCCATTGGGCTCGGGGGTCCCGGTGGCCACGCGGGGAGCCAGCTTGCCGACCGCAAGGGCCCTGCTGGCCCGCACCGAAAGGATGCGCTGTCCTCTGGCCCAGCTGCGCGGCCGGAGCCCGGACACCGAGAGGCCAAAGAGACCCCGCTCTGCAGCTCTGCGGCCGCGGGCGCCTCCTCGGTCTCTGCGTTCTCTGCGCCGCTTTCCCCTCCCCTTCCTCCAGACTCTCCTCCCCTTCCCACGTCAGCAGAGCCTTCGGTCCAGACTCTTCGTCAGAGAGAGGAAGGGGGGCCGGGGCCCAGGGGAGGAGGGGCTGGGGGCTCTGTCGTCTTCTGGTTTTGCAAGGCATTGCGGTAAAAAGGGAGAAAAGGCTGAAGGATAGTAGGTAGCCGAGGCGGGCGCCAGAGGTTCCTCTCTAGCATTTATTAAGTGCCTACTATGCCCCAGGCCTTGCGTTGGGCTTTGGGGATAACAGGGCCAACCACACCTCCTTGGAGGTTACTTTCGGGAGGCAGGCAGCTATGCGCTTCTGCATATGGAGGCTTAGCCCTGTTCTGCCGCAGACCGCCACAAGGAGCTGCCTTCTCTGGGCTTCCACACCCCCGTGCTGGTTCAGTCGCCATCATTTTCTCAACAGTGTTTGGCACTGTTGGCCACCCCTGACTTCAACACTTCCTGAGCTGCTAAATCCCACATTCCCTGGCTTCCTTTCTCCTGCTCCTTTTTCCATGGCAGGCACAGCCTCCTCTTCCCTGCCATCAGGCTGTGTCTGCAGTGCTCAGGACTTGGTCTGAGGCCCTCCCTCATTTCCCTCTTGTCTCCACCTTGGTGTCTCATCCTGCTCACAGCTCAACGCCACCAATGAACAATGCACGTCTGAGCCCCAGCTTGGCATTTCCAGCTCCCACTGTTTTCTGAGCTCGGGTTCACCAAGCACCCCTTGCTGGACCTCTTACTCTGGATGTCTTGCAGGGACTTCAAGTTCAGGGTGACTAGGACTAAACTCATGCTTTCCCCTCCCGTAACCTGGTTACCTCCTCCTGTTTCCTTCAGCAGGGTAGGAGGAAGCTATGGCCAGGTACTCATGTGACAACCCTTGGAATTCCCTCTCCCTTATGCCAGACCCTTTACAGCACCCTGTCCATGTCATTTCGTATATAGTTTGCAGATAATCTGTGGCTGTCTTCCACCACTTGCACACGCTAGTGTAGCCTCCTAATCCCTGGCTGGTGTTCTGTCCACATCCACTTTGCTTTTGCTCCCTTCCTCATCGGTCACGCACAGTGCAGATGGAGTGATCTTTTCAGAATGCAGGTCGGACTGTGTCCCTTTCTTGCTTAATTACCTGCTCCACGGTAAGTATTCTAGACTTGCACATGGTGCTGGATGCCTGATCACATGCTCTCCGAAGTTCCATTTCACTTCTTCCCCCAGGCGCTCTACTGTCCAGCCACTTGGGTTTTTCTTTCAGTATTTTCCACACCACAGGACCTTTGCACAAGCTGGTTTCTATGCCTAGAAGTCCTTCTAGTCAAATTGTGTTCACCTTCAGCTTCAGCTAAGCCTTCTCTAACCCCTACAGTTGCTACTCCGTGTGGTTGATGGATGAACAGCATCCGTATCACTTGAGAGGTTGTTAGAAACACACAATCTTGGTCTCACCCAGACCCTTCAACCATAAACTGTTTTTTAATTAGATCATTGGGTTCATGTTCATTAGCTAGAGATGCATTTATCTAAGAGATCTGGTGCTTGATGGACACTTTATTTTTGAATCTCAGGTAAGGGCTGGAAAGGAATGTCCTGTAAGTGCCAGTGAGGGAGTCATTTCCCTTTCTCACTACTGAATTTCACCTTCAATAACTTGTCTCCTTGGTTCAGAAACTCCCCAAATACAGGAAGCCCTTCTTTCTCAGTGCGTCAGCTTCCTAGCACCTTCCCTCCTCCAACTTCTTTGAGTGTCTCTTCTAGAATTACTACGATCACAGCCAGCACTCCTTGGGAATTTATTTGCCTGTATCTTCTGCTTGTTTTGGAGTAATAGATCTTTTTTTTTTTGTCTTCTTTGAGACGGGGTATCACTATGCAGTTCAGGCTGGTCTTGAACTCACTCTGGCCTCAAACTCACAGCAATCCTCCTGCCTCAGCCTCTCTAGTGCTGGGATTACAGGCATGCACCACACCTGGAGAAGTAATAGTTCTTTAATTTTATCTGGTCCTAGACCATTCACACCCATTTTCTTGTAAAAGTCTCACAACTTTGTAAGACTATTATGATCATTATCACATTAACGCTAAGACAGGACTCAGAGACTGGCATGACTTACACACACACACACACACACACACACACACACACACACACACACACACACACACACACACGGGACCTACCCGAGGCTTGAAACCTGACCCCAGTTCCAGGCCCCTTCTTTCCCTCTCCCTCTCTCAGTACTGGGATCTTACCAACGACTCAGGGGAGCTTTACCGCTGACTTGCATCCTTAGCTCTTTTTGTTTTTTGAGACAAGGTGTCCCTACATTGCTCAGGTTGGCCTTGAAGTTGTGATCCTTCTGCCTCAACTTCCCAGGTAGCTGGGATTACAGGTGTATGCCACCACTCTCGGTTCAGGCTTATGTCTTGAAATTCTGTCTGGAAAATGGAAGATGGCCTTCAACACATAGGGGTGATTGTTCTTGCCCTAGAATCTTGAAATTTCCCCCTTGAGAGTGAAATGAGAAAGGAGCCCAAAATGGAGACACATGCATAGGGGTGTCAAGATGCTAAGACTGTGATCAGAATTTGAGGTGTCCCTGACCAGGTCACCATGCCAGATTTTTGGGAAAGCAGAGCCTCAGTCTCGGTCTGTGGCTGACTTCTTCCCTTGTAAATGGCTGAGTGATCCTTCATATAGGCTACGGTCCCTCACTTTCACCAAAGTCCTGAGGACTATGGACTTGAATCCATTGTGCTCGCCTGCTACCTCAGCTCCTCTTGTCGAGGAGAGTGATCAATAGGAAGCATGGGGTGTGGGGTGGAAGGGGTCAGATTCTCCTAGAGTCACCTGCAGAAGAGGGTATCAGGCCAGCCAGTAGTGGTTTCCAGGGCTGGCCTGGGATACGAAGCTGAGCATGAGTCTCTAGTTGGGGGACCTCTGAGGCTCCTATATAGCCAATCTCTTACCACAACTGCATCTCTCTAACAACATCGTCTGACGATGAAGTCTCGGAGGGAAGCCCCAAGTCAGCAATCTGCCTGCCTGCCTGCAGCACCAATCCCAGACTATTTTTGGTTCTCATCTTCCAGGGCGAGCTCTGGCATCCACTCCCAATTTTTCTGGCTAAAATCTTCTTCCCTGGTCTCTCCTTGCTCAGTGAGTCTCTTCACATTACCCCGTAGATTTCCATCACCAACTACTGCCCAGTCTGGTCAGCTTATTATTTTTTTAAACACATTTAACTGAGTTGTTGATGTCCAGCCCACTTGGACATAGGTACATGGGACACAGTCACTATGGACCTTTAGAATTCTGCCTTGCCTGTCACAGGGAGCTGACAATCGGTCCAGTCGTTGGTTGTTGAAGAAAGAAGCAAAATTTCTCTTCACAGTGTGTTCCGTGGACACAGTGACACCTCCACCCCCCACAGGCTCCCAAGAATCAAGCCAGGGAATGAGAACTCGGGCTTTATTGAGGTGGATGCCCATGCCCAGGGCCCAGCTCTCCAACCTTCTGAGGGAAGGAGCCCTCGGGTGTCCCCAGACCTCCACATTCTGGGCAATGCTCAGGTCGCTGTCCTCCCGATTATAACCAGTGTGGTGCTGATGTTCTGGAGCCAAGGAGCGGGATAACCTCGATTCTCTGTGCACCAAACTTTCAGAGGTGGAAGGCACCACCGTGACCCCCACCAGAGGCTGGATAGGAAAGTCCAGTTCCTTCCTGCCCCAACAAAGCAGGCAATAACATTAAATATAAATAATTTATATAAAATGGCTCGTACAAAAAGCAGTGGGAAAGGGGAGAAGACGCCTGTGAGAGGCTGAGATGACCGGAAAGGCGGAGAAGGGGAGACAGGCCTCCCCTTCCTAAAACAGAGCCCTGGACCACCCAAGGATTGAGAGTGGCTCTGGCAGGCAGGGAAGGAAGGGAAGGCTGTGCCAATGCACGCTCAGGGGGCCAGGCTGGTGAGCAAGGTGGTGAACTGCAGGGCCTGCCCTGATAGTTCTGCCACGCATCGCGCCATCTCCTGAACCGCAGGGCCAGAGGGATAGCCCAGCGCTGCCCCCTTGACAGCCAGCACAGTGGCCTGCAAGGCCTGGCCCAGTGCCGTGCCTGCAGCCCCCACCTGTGCTCGCAGAGGAGCAGAAGATGCCAGCCGGCCCAGGGTGTCCCCAACGAACACGAGGCGGTGAGCAGTCACCACCACCCGCTTGCCGTGGGGCACGAAGAGGCGCGGGGGCTGGCTGGCCTGGGTGCTGGATGTGAGGGTCGCCACAGCCGCCTGCAGCGCCGCGTAGTGGCTCTGGCACTGTCCTGCATAGAAGTGCAAGAGCTGTTGGTCTCTGGTGGACAGGACCAGCGGCTCCCCTGGGGAAGGGGCTTCCTGAGGAACAAGAGGAGGTGGTGGGAACATGCTGTCAGGGCCTCTTCTTCCCTCCACTCTCCTTCCCTTTATTTGTGAGGGCAGACCCTTTGGCCCACCAGAAAGTTTAGATTCTTGAATGGCAGGGAAGCGTCCAGAGTGCATGTCAGATAGATCTGCGTTCCAATTGCATCAAACTTGACTTCATTTTTCAGGCTGGCCTTGAGCTCACTTTGTAGCCCAGGCTGGCCTTGAACTCGCAATGATGCTCCTGCCTCAGCCTCCCGAGTGCTGGGATTATAGGCATGCGCCACCATGCCCAGCCAAATTTGACTTCAGATAAGTCTGAAATTCTTTGGTTCCTTATGTCAAAGCATATGGAGTCTAGGCCTAGGCTACAGGCAGTGGTAGAGCACTTGCTTAGCATGCTGAAGCCCCTGAGTCCATCTCCAGCACAGTGACAGATGAACAAAAAAAACAAAACCAAATGACAAAATAGGGACTCGAGTACTGCACTGCCCAATAAAAACAATGTAAACTACTTGTGGAATTTTAAATTTTTTAGTAGCCACGTTAAGTAAAAAGAAATATTTTAATTAACTCTAAATATAAAAGTTGATCGTTTCCACATATAATCAGTATGAATTTTCATATTTAGTCTGCAAAATCTAATGTGTCTTTTTTTTTTTTTTTTTTTCCTGGTTTTTCTCCGGTACCGGGAACTGAACTCATGACCTTGTGCTTGCCAGGCAGGTGCTTTGCCACTGAGCTAAATCCCCAGCCCCCTAATGTGTCTTTTATATTTAGAGAACATTTCATTTCAGACCAGCCACATCTCGAGGGCTCTACGGTCACAGGTGGCAACTCTACAGGAAAGTGCAGGGTTTTTTTTTTGACACAGGATCTCACTGTGTAAATTAGCCTGCCCTTAAACTCTCTATGTAGCCCAGACTGGCCTCAAACTCAAGGTGATCCTCCTGCCTCAGCCTCCCAAGTGCTGGGATTACAAGGGTGCACCACCATGCCTGGCCAGGGCAGTACAATTCTAGTATGGACACCGAGATAACGCAGGGAAAGGGCCTGGCACAGTGCAGGGCACCTGGTAAGAACCGTGTGGCCTTCGCAGCAATTGTGCTTGATGCTGATGCATGCAGTGTGCCTGGCACAGGCTCTGGCAGTTTCACTTGGTGAAAGGTAGCTATTGTGTTATGTTCATTCTATGCTGGGTCAGGAAACTACCTCAGTTTCCTGCGGCCTGGAGAGATTAACTGATTGCTTTGAAACCAGTGGCGTCTTAGTGGTGGATCTGGGATTAGGAGCTGGGTCTCTTAGGAACCCAGGAATTCATAATTGGAAGGAGTTGTTCAGTTGAAAGGAGGCTTAGAAGTCACCTGGCCCAGCTGTGACCCACCGTCCAGAAACTTTCTGCTCCCCTGGCTGACGGCTTTCTGACTCTGCCCCAACACATTCTTTCCTCTCTTTCTAAATTCCTCATAACCTTTTTCAAGTTCCAGTGCCTTCCTGTTGGAGTCTCACTCCTCTCCCTGCTTCAGGTAAACTCTTACCCTCGTCCTAACCTGTTTCTCTCAAGGTCTGGCGAAGAATACTCCTTCCCTAGCCCCCCTCCGCCACCCCCTCCGCCAGGCCTACCTGACGCTCCGGCAACCCAGTCTGCAGTGGTTCAGGATCTTCTGGAAAGGCTTTATCCAGGGGTCTAGATTCCTGAGCTTTATCCATGCCCTGCAGAGGGGCGCAGGTCTCAGTGCAGGGGTCAAGAGTCAGGGTGGGTAGCCTCCTGGTCTTTCTGCCCCTCCCCAGTACCCCTTCCTTCCTGAGGGTGTCACCAGAGGTTGCAGTCCCTTGACTCCAAGTATAAGATAGCTCTGGGGGCCCTGGGGTGGGTTTAGGGGAGAGTGTGGCACTATCACAAGTGGCATGCCTGAAGGTCATCGGCTGCAGGGTGGAGGGGAAGAGGGAGGCTCGGAGATCTTCCCCTTGATTCTCCTGGTGCATTTCTGGCAGGCTCCCTGTGGGGCTGCCAGGGAGGGAGCTCACCTTCAGGTGGACGTAGTCGTACTCCTCGGCCACTGGGATGCCTTCATACTCATTGTGCGGTCCTGCTGGGTCGTCCTCCGCCTCTCTGTTCTCTGGATTCCCCTCCACCTTGAGGCCCCCATAGCCAGGAAGGTGCGGTGGGGGTGGGGGTAGAGGCCGGTCTTGGATACTGCCCTTGCGGCCTGGGGCAGGAGAGGGAGCCGGAGAAGGGCTGGGAGCCTCAGGGACAGGCAGGGCAGGCAGAGGGCGACGGGATAGGCTTTCAGCGGAGGGCAGCCGTGGCCTGTGTGGGGGTGGGGGGCTTCTGGGCAGAAGCCCAGCCAGAGTGTCCAGGTCACTGGAGGCTGAGGCTCCTGGAGGCTCCGGAGAAGGGGGTGCCTCGGGCCCCAACAGGGGCACATCATAGATGCCCTCGTCAGTGTCCCCGCCCTCTCCATTTGTAAGTTCCTCGGGTGCTTCATACAGGTTGAGGACGGCTGATGCCCGCTTCAGGTTGGAGGGGGCAGCATAGAGGGGTGGCCCTGGTTCCCGGCCCCCTTCCCACTCCAGATCTGGCTCCAGCTCTGTGGGCAGCTTTGGGGCCAGAGGCACATCGTAGGTAGCATCATCCTCTCCGGGAGGCTGAGGGGCAACCTGAGCCAGAGGCCGGGAAAAAGAGGCTGGGGAGTCGTAGGGGTCACTGGAGGGAGTCCGCAGGGCAGTGGAGGGCACATCATAGACCTAGAGAGAGATCAGTGAGTTACCCTTCAGCTTAGCAGTGGACCCCTTCTCATCCAACATCCGCACTGGCCTCCAGCCCTCACCTCCAGGGCATCTCCAGGCTGGGTTCCATTGCCTCTAGGGACCTTGTAGATGGGATCAAAGGAGGGTGGGCAGGAACCAGACAGAGATCCTGTGGCAGGACAGGGCCGAGCTGGTGGTGGCACCACATACACCTAGAGGGTTAAAACAGGTGGGTGCGTCAGGAGTAGGGAGCCGATGAACCAGATGACATCAGACTCGGAGAAGCTTAGAGGCCTTCCACCCCGTGCTGACAGGGACACCAAGCTGAGAAGAGGGTGGCAGATGGCTTCAGCCAACACAGCAAATGAAAAGCCACAGCCCTGAGGATCCTGTCTGCCTTGCTACAGGGCCCCAGGGAAGGACACAGGCTCTCCTGGCTTGGGGTTGGGGAGAGTCCAGTGCTCACCTCTTGCTCCTCATTGCCACGCTCCAGGACTGGGTATGGTGAGCCAGGCTGGGTGGGGGGTGCCAGGGAGAGGCTGGGTTTAGGCGCTGGGCCAACAGGGAGGAGCTTCACTCTGTTGGCGGGCACAATGCCCTGCTGGCCATGCAGGGAGCAGAGGCACCAGCCATCCAGTCCGCCAGCGCCCTCCCTCTGCAGGACCCGTAGAACATCCCCTCGGCGGAAGGACAGCTCCTGGGGAGACTCGGCGGTGTTGTCGTACAGTGCCCGGGCCAGCTGGGCCTGGTGGTGAGGGTAAGGGTCTTTAGGCACTGCAGGTCCTGTCGAGCCACCCATTCCCTTCAAGCTGAAAAATCTCACTCCTGACTTGGCTGCTCCTTTCGGCCTTGCCTTGCCTCCAGCCGCATCTCCTGTGCTCGCCTTTCCGTTCTTGGAAGGAGCTCATTTTGGCTTCAGGGCCTTTGTACTTGCTATTTTCCCTACTCCCAAATCTGTCTGATCATCCCCTTTATCCTTCTGCTTAAATGTCTCCTCCTCAGAGGGGGCTTTTCCTTTCTTCTCCCACCCCATTCTCCCTGTCTGTCTCTACCCATTGCTCCTGTCATAATACCTTTATCATCAGTTTCTTCCCTGCACTTTAAGCCCCAAGAGAACAGGGACTGCTATATTCCTACCCCCCTGCAATATGAGCAAGAGGGCCCCACCCAAACTGATCCTCATACACATTTGTTGGATTAATTTCTCCCAACGTACATAGGGCATTGCTGCAACATTTCATACACTCTTCTTTCCTTCCCTGTTTCCCTGTTACTACCCCTCATAAGCAAAAGGCTAGATTAAGCAGCTGTGTTCCAAGGGAAGAAGCTTTGTCCAGAGCTCCTAAGCATAGTAAGAAAGGAAACAGAAACTGAAGCAATGTTTTATTCTCAGCCTGAGCAAATAATGTTCTACCAGGAGAGGCTGAGGGTCCATGGAGAAAAGTGTACGGCCTAGTGCAGTGGCGGCGAACCTGCGGCATGCGTACTGCAGCTGGCTCTGTTCTCCCTGAAAGCTCTAAGGGGTCACCATCACTGCTCTAGTGTATGTGTATGGAGGGGGCTGGCGGACAAATGGAGGAAACCATTATCCTGTTTCCACTACCTCGTGGAGCACTTAAGCTTTTTTACATTGAGGGCCACATGCTCAGGTAACGATCACAGGTGCCAAGTGCACCAAAATGATGTTTCCAGATATCATGCAAATCTTTGCATTTATATCATCTCTAATTCTCACAATCTAACGGGGAAGGCACCATTGTTATCTTCATTTTGTTTTTTTTTTTTCTCCGGTACCGGGAACCAAACTCACAACCTTGCGCTTGCCAGGCAGGCGCTTTGCCGCTGAGCTAAATCCCCAGCCCCTGTTATCTTCATTTTGGAAGGGAAACTGGGACAGAGAGGTTAGTGCTTTGGCCGATGACATATAGTTGGTCCAGCTGATCCTAGGTGGTGTGGCTTGCACAGAAGTGTGAGAGCAACTAGCCAGGCACTACTGTCCAGTAACCATGTGGATAATTCAGCGAAATATCTCAAGCCAAAGACTTCAGCTAGGCTGCCTGCTCAGTCAGCGGGACGGAGTGCATGGTGACTTAGCTGTTTTTTTCTGCCGGGAGACAGGTTTTAACAAGAAACAGATTCCTTGCCACTTTCCAAACTCATCGAACTATTTTCTGATTATATTGTGGCTTCTAAAGGATATTGTCTCACAGAAAGAAAATATGGTAAACAGGTAACACGACTTCCTGGTTGGCTTTGCATCCCCCCCACCCCGGACATTAGTGTTTTAGATCTAAGGGATTTAAGTCAAAGTACTAGAGGAAGATAGACCTGGGGTTGAGTTCTTGTTCTGTTCCATTTTCACTGGGTATGTCTGGGCAAGTTGTTTGAAATTCCATGAGCCTCAATTTACTTCTTTGTAGAAATTCATAGCTATATTCAAATGTCTATTTTTGGATAATAGTGTCCTCACAAACTTTCTCATGAAAGTTTATGAGATAATGCATCAAAACACCATGGCAAAGCTTAGCACAGGGCCAGGTGTAGTAAGTGCAAAATAAAATTAGAATTACCTATATTAGGATCCTGTGAATTTGGTTAGCATAAATATCACATCTCCCCACTAAAAAAAACTACCTCCCAGGACTACAAAGCTGAGAGGTGACTGGCAGAGTCCTGAGCCAGCAGTGCTGTCAGATTACCCCCAGAAGTACTCCAGCGCCAGAGAACCTCCCCTCTGCCCACTGGGCTCGGGGCTTCTAGCCACCATGCGTACCAAGGAACTACAAGGAGTGTGGTCTGAGACAGAGCAAAAACCAAATGTTCGTCAAAGGGAATGGAGTTGGGTAGCTCCATGACTTTCTGTCTACCTTCACAATCTCCTTCCTGGAGGCCTGGGGCCAGGGCAGAAAGCCAAATCCCACCCCTGGCCAGGGCTAAGAAAGGTGGAAAGACATAGTTGCCTGGATTCAGACCACAGACAGTGCAGGGCAGGGAGCAGAGGGGGCTGCTGAGGGCTCCTCCCTGCAGTAGGTGTGAATTCTGTCCAGTGGGGCCAAAGCTCCAGGCCTGGCAGTTGCAGGAACTCAGGTGCAGCTGCTGATAGAAGGACTGATGAGGGTGTGGTCATCCAGTCCATTCCCCTCTACAGGCCCAGCTGACTTGTGAGGGAAGGAACACTGGCTTACTGGGGGTGGCAGTGGACCGCTTCGCTCCCTGGGAGGTCTCCGCCCACAGTCCCATGTGCCAGCTGTCTCCTCCCTTTGTCCCCAGTCCCTGGAAAGTGGCCTGGGGCGGGCTGACATCACCTCCCCTCCCCCTTCTGTACTCTTTCCCCTGCCTGATCGCCCTCCTTTGCTGTAGTTGCCCCTCTCCTCCATTCCCTTCAGGAGATGGGCCTCCTGAGGTTCTTTGGCATCCCGTTTTCCCTGGGCCGCCTGGTCCTTGGAGCCTCCAGAGAGAAGCCCCTGCCGGCCACCAGCAGCCCTCTGTTCCCGCCCAGAAAAGAGCAGATAGGGCTGGGGCTACACTTGCCCCCTCCCCTCCATCCAGCCGCAGCCTCTAGGAAGAAAGAGAAGGGGGAGGGGGAGGGGCGAGCCCAGAACCAGAAGGAGCGGGCGATGGGGAGTGCGAGGCAGAGAGGAGACAAAAGTGCGATGAGGGTACAGCCTCTTGGAGAAGAAAGGGGTCGCGGACAGAGACAATGAGAAAGCATAAATAAAAGCGACAGGAGAGCGGGGCAGGCTGGGGAGGTCCGTGCCCGGGAGCCTCCTCTCCCCGGCGGACTCACCGACGTGGCAATGGCCATGGCCTCGGCTTCCAGCATCTCCTGCTTCAGGCCAGGCTCGGGCTCGCTGTCTTCAGCCGAGGCTGCCCGGCACCATGGCTCGCGGCCTGCAGGCGAGGAGGCTGCCCTCGGCTGTGGCGCTCTCGCAGGGGTCTCCGCCGAGGTCGGAGGAGAAAGAAACCCACAAAACTTCCCAAATGGGAGGCAGCTTGGCCAGGCGGGAGGAGGAGCGGGGAGGGCCGGGCCGGGGCGTCGCTGCGGGCCCTCTTCCAAGGGGCGCGCTCCGCAGTCCCCACCGCCTGGCCGGGCCGAGCCGCTGTCCCAGGCTGCAGAGGCCCGCTGGCCCGGGCGCGCCGAAAGCGCCCCTCCACGGTCTGCGACGCGCGGGGAGGCTGTGCGCGCTGGGGCTTGCTCGACGCCTACCCAGCCGCTCAGGGCAGCCCGGAGGCCGAGAGGCGGTCCGGGCGGCTGGGCTGGACGGGCGAGTTTGGGGCCAACCCTCCCTGCCCGGGGGCCGCGCCAGAGAGCAGCGCTCCGGGTTGCAGGCGGCACGGCCGGGGCCCTGTGGCTGGACCTGCTGCGGGGGAGGAGGAGCGAGCACCGGGCGGGCGGTCAGGCCCTTTTCAAACTCGCCCAAGTTGGCGAGAGGAGGCCGGGGTGGCGCCACGGGCCACTAGGGGCGCGGCCATCGGGCTGGCGGCGGGCTTCGA